AAAAAAAAAAAAAAAAAAAAAAAAATCCTTAATTCCTATTTAGCTTAAAGTCTGTTTACTGATGGTATTAGTGAAATGATAAGTATTTATGATAACAGATAAAATAGTAAGAAAATTATAAAATTATCAGCTCTAATAGCCTGATTTTGCAGATGACAATATGAAAGTCCATAAAGGTTAACTAATTTACCCAAAGCTGCACAGTGAGTTTGTGTATAAGAACTCGGGTCTCCTAACTCCTGGGTCAATATTTTTCCATTATATTCCTTTATTCAATGTGTACACTTCAGAAACCTAGGTTATTTAATATATATAATCAATAGTATATATATATATATCTGTCTCTTATACACATCTAGATGTGTATAAGAGACAGGTACACTTCAGAAACCTAGGTTATTTAATATATATAATCAATAGTATATATATATATATATAATTAAGTTTCTGTTACTTAAGTACATAATTGTCATTTATATTCACTGACTCTCCTTGGTGGTTTTAAAAACCTGTGTCTCAAAAGCCTTTGTACAGTGTGCATTATACTATGGAAAGGAGATTTACAATTTAGTGCAGAGGCTGTACTTTAAAAAGAAACAATTCTGGAGCTGGGTGCCGTGGCTTGTACCTACCTATAATCCCAGCTACTTGCAAGACTAAGGTAGGAAGATTACATGAGCGCAGGAGTTAGTGGCTGTAGTGAGCTGTAATTGTGCCACTGTATTCCGGCCTGGACAGCAGAGTGAGACACTATCTCTAAAAAAAATTCATTAATTTAAAAAAGAAACAATCCAGGTGACTTTTATTTCAAAAATATGTATGCAGAATGGTTTTTACCTTTGTTCTTGTCTCTCCCCGCCCCCCATCTTTTTGATGGTAGTTTTGTCCTTTTGATTTTTTGTTCTTTAGTTGCTTTTTGTCTGTAGAAAGCTTTTGGGGATAAAGACCTTAAAGTATTTAAAAATTCATGTTAGAAAAGAAGATTCCATTGTATCTTTGTTTCACAGACCACTTAATATAACTTAGCCAGGTAAATTTTGCATTTCACACTGATTACTTCTTTGGCCATTGTGTGTGGATAAGGTTAGCCTGAGTGCAGTTTTAATGTATTGGGTCTAGACTAGAAACAGACTTTTTGTATTCCGTATTCTTTATCTTCTTTAGTCCATGATGCCCTTGTTCTTGATATTTTACTTGTTTCTGTTAGTAGCATAAAGGAAAGCTTTTACGCCATACATAGGAGCTTGGTAGCAGGCAAAATACAAATAACCTTCTACGGAATTTGAAGAATATTTTCACATTCTTGTAGAGTTGGATACGCCTTCAGAGAAAGTACATGGAATATCTTGACTGTAAAGACTCAGTTAAAGTGTTTTAGTCTCCACAGTCAGGGTGAGTGAGCTGTATAGAGGAAGTCACAGTGGTTGGCCAAGCTGAGATACTTGCTTATACATTTCAAAGTGCCCTTTTCTTTCAGAACTCCTATAATCTTGTCATCCCAAGTATCATCTTATGTACCTCTTTCACGAACGGATCTGAAGACAGTGATCCTACAAAGCGTATCTTTTCTTTTTTAGAGTTAAAATACCAATACCACCCAGACCTTAGATTCTAAATACTATTATTCATTAAAGTGAACCAGGACTTCTTGGAGAAATGACTGATTCTGGGGCTGGGACAGGGAAAAAAGGGCCCCTTCAATATTTTGGGGACATTTCAGAAGATCCAGAAGCCAGCTTGGAGGAATTTCCACTGGTCAAGTGTGGGATAAGTTTGAGTGTCAAAATAAATAAGGACAATAAGGCTGGGCACGGCGGCTCGCGCCTGTAATCCCAGCACTTTGGGAGGCCAAGGCGGGCAGATCACCTAAGGTCGGGAGTTCAAGACCAGCCTGGTCAACATGGTGCAACCCCGTCTCTACTAAAAATACCAAATTAGTGAGGTGTGGAGGTGTGCGCCTGTAATCCCAGCTACTTGGGAGGTGGAGTCGGGAGAATTGCTTGAACCTGGGAGAGACAGAGATTGCACGAAGCGAGGCCCCCTCTTAAAAAAAAAAATAAAGTGAAGAAATCAATAAATAAGGACAATAAATGGAGTGTAACTGATTAAACAAAATCATAATCCATGTGTTAATTTAACTAGTAAAATAGAGAACTACAGCTGGCGCAGGGGCTCACGCCTGTAATCCCAGCACTTTGGGAGGCCGAGGTGGGTGGATCACCTTAGGTTGGGAGTTCGAGACCAACCTGACCAACATGGAGAAACCCCGTCTCTACTAAAAATATACAAAATTAGCTGGGCATGGTGGTACATGCCTGTAATCCCAGCTACTTGGGAGGCTGAGGCAGGAGACTCGCTCGAACCCAGGAGGCGGAGGTTGCGGTGAGCTGAGATCATGCCATTGTACTCCAGCCTGGGCAACAAGAGCAAGACTTCATGTCAAAAAAAAAAAAGTTGTAGTCATGTTAGTAGTAAAAATTGATTCAAGTAAAGTTTATCTGGGTGCTAAATCTGGGATGAGGGGAGGGAGTTTCCCAGGGAACAAGTTATGAACATGATCTCAAATTAACTGCCTATGAACTATTTATTTATTTATTTATTTTTCTTTTTTTCCTTTTTTTGTGGAGACAGGAGATGGGTCTCGCTATGTTGCCTAGGCTGGTCTTGAACTCCTGACCTCAAGTGATCCCACCACTGCAGCCTCAAAGTGCTGGGAGTACAGGCATGAGTTACTATGCCCAGCCAGATTATTTATTAATTATAAATGGAGAAATGGTAACTATAAAATGGTGATGTAGGAGGCAAGCATAGATGTCATGTGCTTCCAGACACGACACTTTGAGAACACAACATCATTTATGAAATGTCTAAGCCGAAAATTTTTAACAACCTGAATCCAGTCATGAGGAAACAACTGGGAAACCCAATCTAAATGGCATTCAACAAGATACCTGGCCTGTGTTCTTCAAAAATGTCATGCGAGAGAAACAAAGGCTGGGAACATTGTGAACAGTTGAGAAAATTGGAACATGGATTTTCAATTGAGTAAAAGTATTGTATCAGTGTAAATTTTCCTGAATTTGGTAACTGTCCTGTAAGGGACATAAAACAACGGCTTTATCCGTTTGCATTACTACAAAGTAATACCTGAGGCTGGGTCACTTGCAAAGGAAAGAGGTTCATTTGGCTCACGGTTCTGCAGGCTGTGGAAGAAGCATGGAGACAAGCCAGGTGCAGTGGCTCACGGCTGTAATTCCAACACTTTCAGAGGCCGAGATAGGCAGATCACTTGAGGCCAGGAGTTCGAGACCAGCCTGGCCAACATGGTGAAACCTGTCTCTACTGAAAATACAAAAATTGGCCGAGCACGGTGGCCTGTGCCTGTAATCCCAGCTACTCAGGAGGCTGAGGCAGGAGTATCACTTGAACCTGGAAGGCAGCGTTGCAGCGAGCCGAGATTGTACCAATGTACTCCCGCCTGGCCAGCAGAGTGTGAGACTCCTTCTCAAAAAAAAAAAAAAAAAAAAAAAAAAGAGAGGGAGAGAGATTGGGCGATGGGCAATGGAAGGCTTGACAATCATGGTCTGCTTGCTATACCTGAAACACAAGCTTTGTTTCTGTATTAAAAACATAAGGCGAAGCTGGGTCCACTGGCTCATGCTTGTAATCCCAGTGTTCTGGAGACTGAAATGAGGCAGGAGGATTGCTTGATCCCAAGAGTTGAAGAGCAGTCCGGGCAACATAGTGAGATCCCATCTCTTAAAAAAAATAAAAATTAACCGAACTAGTGCTTGTAGCCCTATCTACTGTGGAGGCTAAGGTGGGAGGATCCTTTCAGTCTGGGAGGTTAAGGCAGCAGTAAACTGTGATTGTGCCACTGTACTCCAGCCTGGGTGAAGAGTGAGACCCTGATTAAAACAAGCAAAAAACAAACACAAGGTGACTTTAAGTTGAAGAGCAAGCACTTGCCATTTGAGCCCTAGCCAGAACTATAAACTGTAATGTGGGTGAGGTTGTTGTTTTCCATATTTCCTTCTTCTTCACTTCTTTCATCTTACACACTGAATCCCTATCGGCTGTTCAGACATAACTCACCTCCTTCCTGTGTATCGAACACCTGAACTGTCTCTCACTTTCCACTCTCTAATCCAAACTTCTGGCCTCTTAGTAGGGGTTTTTAGAAAACTTAGAGAAAAACAACCAAGTGTTGATTTTAGTAACTTCTATGATCATAACTAGCTAGTAGAATTAATTGTCATTTATATTTTAAAAGGGGATTTTTTTTTTAAGCAAATTGTCTCTTTGGATAAGTATGTGTGGGAGGGAAGCATGTTGTAAGCAAAACAATAAAGGAAATGAGTAGGGTTTTCCTGTCTTTGACTGGCCTACAGAGCTCCAGAGTCAGAGGGATTGGTGTTCTTCTGAAGAGTCTTCAGTCCTCTCTTTGGCTTACTGAGGTAGTTGTAGCATAGTCAACAGCTCAGGCGTTGGATTTAAGTGCACAGACCTGGGTTCCAATTCTTGTCTTTATTATGTAAGTGACTGCAACATTATTCAAGTTACTTAACATATTCAGACCTCAGCTTCCTCATTTGTAAATATCATAAGTGTACTACCTGATAGACTTGTGAGAATTATACAAAATAGCATTGTAAAAGTACTTAGTGCGTAATAGGCATTATCTGTATATAAGTTACTACCATTATTATTTTGTCAGGTGGAATATGTATTATGTTTTTATTGGGTTGAGTGTTCTACCAGAGTCAGATAGGTCAAGTTGGTTGATAGCATCATTCAAGTTTTCTGTCTTTACTGACGTTTTAAAAATCACTTCTCTGTCAATTACTAAGTGAGGAATCCTGAAATCTCCAAATATCATTGTGAATTTGTTTCTCCTTTCAGTTCTGTCAAATTTTGTCTTACGTGTTTTGAAGCAGTGTTATCAGTATATACATATTTAGGATTGCTGTGTCTTCTTGAAGAATTAACCCCTTTTTTATGACGAGATACCCTTCTCTGTTCTTGGTAATATGGTCCATGTTCTTAAGTTTACTTTGTCTAACATTTGTATAACCACTTAAGCTCTTTTTCATTGTTTCAGAGTATCCTCTTCCTTTCATTAGTTTTTAACATATTTGTATCTTTATAGTAAATTTCTTACAGACAACATGAAGTGGGGTCTTGTTTTTTAATCTACTCTGATAATCTCTGACATTTAATCAGACTGTTTATAGCACTTATATTTAAGGTGTTTTTTTTTTTTGTTTTTTTTTTTTGGGAGACAGAGTTTCACTCTTGTTGCCCAGGCTGGAGTGCAATGGCACGATCT